TCAGACTAACATTGTGGTCGCACCCCAATAATACGGGCTGACAATAAGTGAATAAGTGGAAACATTTTTCTTAACTCAATGTTTCGAGTTCCGCCCCTCTGCGAGGAGGGTCTGCGCACCCGCCGTGAGACGAGACCAGTGACTCGACTAACAAGCCGCGAGACCCGCCCCGTCCAGCGACTCCACGCCACGCCACGCCACGCCACGCTCCTCAGCACGCGCCACTGTGGCTGACTTTGAGGCTCCCGTCCCTTTCGGTAAACTCCTGCCCTGCCAACCCCCCTCCTCCTATCGTCCTCGCACTTGCCCGCCACCCTCGGCACCCTGCACAGCCTTTCACGCCCAATGTAGGCCAGGCCGGCCTGTAAGGCACCTCACTTGCAAAGCTTCCGCGGTTCCCTGTCCCGCCTCCCCTTTCCCGCACGTGCAGCCGCGTGCCCGCCACGTGCCGCCTCGGTCTGCGTCTGTGTTAGTAGGTCATTCGAACAGGCATGTATAAATCCATTTTCGTCCTCACTCGTATTGTCCCCCAAACAGACTGCAATGACCGACCCACGTCAGAAACTGCTCATCTACGCGACGCTGTAGTACTCGTCTTTTTTCCCTCGCTCCCCCATAACGCCCCATCATGTCGTGATCAGAAACATACCGTGTTCCCATTTATTGTGTGTTATTGTTCAAATCCGCGCCGGGTTTCCCGCGCTCTCCCCAGCCGCAGCCGCGGGACCAGCGGGACCCTCCTCGACGACAAACAACACCAACCGCGACAATGATTCTCCTGGCCCTAATTGAAAGCTCCGGACAGGGCCGGGCCGGGACGTGCACCGCTGCTAATCACCCCCCGCGGGCCGATCACAGAGACACTATTCGCAGGAGAGAGGGCGAGAGCGAGAGAGAGCGAGAGAGGGCGAGAGCGAGAGAGAGCGAGGGACAGAGAGCACGAGGCAGAGAGATGCGGGCCGCCGCACCGGGCCCATCAGAAGGGGAGCGGGAGAGGGGAGGGTCGCGGCGTGCCGCAGAGGTGGCCGCGAGGGGAGAATAATGTCGTTAATCCTCTTTGAAAACGAGGCGTGACGATGTCGATTGTTTTGTGTTTTTTTTTCTTCCACCTGCCCCTGCCGGCCGGAAGTATTGTCTCCTGCTGCCCGTCACCTGCCGCGGCGGCCGCCTCTCTCACCTCGCCGGGCCGTTGCGGAGGTCGGCGGTGCTGCCCCTGGCTGCCCCTGGCAGGGTCGGCACACCGCGCGGCGCGGCGGCGGCAACCCATGGCCCCTGGAGGTAGGCAGCCCGCCGAGCAGCAACAGGCGGCGCGCATAGGCAACCCGCTCAACAGGCCGAGCG